TAGTAAGCAAGATTGGTTATGAGTTCATGAAGGTAATTAAAGATATTTATTTTTTAAAAAGATTTTAAGTGATTTGTTTATTCTTATTTTATGTGCATTGGTGTTTTGCCTGCATGTGTGTCTGTGTGCCATCATCAGGTCCCCTGGAACTGGAGTTATAGACATCTGTGAGCTACCATGTGGATGCTGAGAGTTGAACTCAGGTCCTCTGGAAGAGCAGTTAGTGCTCTTAACCACTGAGCTGTCTCTCCAGCCCGAAGCAAGCACTATTTTTTTTTCAAGACAGGATTTCTCAAGATATTTCTTAAAATAGGAAAATATGAAATAAAGAGACCCCTAGCTGTGGTAATACTTCTACAGGTGGCCTTGTATGGCTGAAGACCAGCACACACTGGTACAGCACCATACCAGGCCAGGCAAGAATGGTTTTCCCACCTTGGCAGAGGTTAGCCTCCCTCTTAGGCATGGGGATGGGCCACAGTCCTCACCTTCCTCATGAAGGATAGCTCTGTGATGAGTTTGGCTCACTGCTGTCCTAGTAGGATGATCCCAGGCCCTGGAGCACACAGGCCACTCTGGGCATGCTCAGTGGAAGGAGCTCTCATTGATAGTTCTTGGGCTGGGGAAGCATTTCCAAGGCCTTGGGGACCCTCCCACCCGACTGTGTACTTTGAATGACAGGTGAGCGTGTACATCTTCAGCTGGTGCTTCCCAAACAATCATGCATGAGGTTTCTGTTCATAGGACAGTGGGTGTCATCAGCCTTAGACCTCTGGGGATCAGTCCCAGCTCTGTCCTGCTTGCCAATGTCTTGAGCAAGTAATTCCCCTGTCTTATTTCTATAAGAGGCTGTCAGAGGAACAGCATCTCCATGGGTTGGGTAGGCAACTTGAAATTGATACACTCCAAGTCACGGCATGATGACAGGTACGAACAGAGCCAGGGATTCATAGCATCTTCATTAGGGGGAAGATACAGGAAGATTGCAGATTTGGAGCCAGGCTGAACTACATCCCAAGTGAGACCCTGTCTCGTAGCAAGAGCAGAACCAGCATGGTGGCATACATTCCAGCACTTAGAAGACAGAGGCAGGAGAGTCTGGAGTCCAAAGCCAGCCTGGGCTACACAGAGCTATCTCTGACCTACTCTGTCTCAAAAATCAAGCAAGCAACAACCAGAAAACCAAAAAACTTTTTAAATTAACCACAAACAAAAATAAGAGTGTCTTCATTCAGCTCTGCTTTCTTCTGTATTCGTTTCTCTCCTGTCTGGCTTTCTCCTTGTAGGACACAGATGGTCTCTAGAAATTTCAGCCTCACAGACTACCAGTTCGTCGAGCCTAGCAGAATCTCCTTTAGTTCCAGGAATGGAGTTCTACTGGTTCATCTTGGGTCATATGACCAAGGATGGGCTCCATCAGTTCCAACATTATCATACTGAACTGAAAAGGGGGAGAGTCCCAAACAACAGGTGACTGACAATGCCCAACAACCTATGCACAAGTTTCCACCAGTGCCCACTGAAAATAAAGGTGAACATGGACTGACCCCAAGGGTGTTTAAATAATACACAGTTTCAAAAATAACCAGAAAATGGTTTGGTTTTGTTCATTTCTTTTCCCATATTTCGAAAATGAATGTGGAAGCCATGTGTGTGTTAGTGTGTGTGCATGCCCATGTGTATGTGCATATGTGAGTGTGTGAGTGGGGGGCTGGGGCCCTCTTGATTTCTGAAGCCCTGCTCACGGGGAAAAACCATTGAAATCAGGTGGAAGGCCTGGTATGGTAGAACACACCTTTAATCCCAGCACTGGGAAGGAAGAGGCAGATGGATATCTAAGGCCAGCCTGGATTACATAATGAACTCCAGGCCAGCCAGACCTATACAGGGAAATCTTGTCTTAAAACAAAACAAAACAAAAGCAAAAAACAAAACAAAACAAAAAACAAAGAAGAAAGAAAGAACCCTGAAGATTCATACAGGCCAAGTTCAGGTCAAATGAGAGCGGGGATTTGAAGTTGGGTTGGTCTGGCTACAAAGGTAGGTCCTGCCTCTGATTGGCTGCATGCATCCAGAGACAGGTGATGTCCTGAGTTTTGCTGACTGGTTAGAACTATGAGAGATGTACAGTGTCATTTAGCTAAGGAGCAACGTCTCCTTCAACTGATATTGTAATAAACACAGGGCCAGTTCATTGGGCACTAGAACAAACTGTTCCAGAACAAGAGCTACAGCCAAGTGTGATGATATAGGCCTGTAAATTCAGTACTTGGGAGGCAGAGGCAGGGGGATCTTTGTGATTCTGAGGCCAGACTTACAGCAAGTTCTAAGTCAGCCAGGGCTATCTTGTGAGGCCATGTCTCAAGCAAACCAGCAAAGACTCTGGAATCCCAGATAGGTTGGAGTCCATATTTCCCTCCTATGGGCAGGTGACCTTTCTAAATATGGGTTCATCATCTGTCAGTGGGAATGATAATGGTACCAAGACAAGAAGCTTGATGTGCACACTGAATGTGTTAATACTATTTCCTTCAGGTCAGTGGATGCCGCTCAGTAGATGCCTACCTCAGTGGCCAGAGCCTGTTTGTCCCACCCAACACCCCCAGTTTCCACCCAGCTAGCTTGTTCTCTTGCTCTAGTATATGTTCACACGGGTTCAAAGGGTACCACACAATAATATAAATAAAGCCCATTAAAAACAAAAAGTAATCTAGAGAGATGACTCAATGTTTAAAAGCACTTGCTGCTCTTGCAGAGAACCCAGATCTGTTTCCAGTTCCCACACGGCTCACAACCAACTGCAACTACAGTTCCAGAAGACCCAATGTACCAGAAGTTTCCATTCAAGCTATCACCAATCACCCAGTCATCTTTCACCTATTGCTTTCTTGTTACCTCAATTCAGTTCCTTCCTTCCTTCTTTCCTTCCTTCCTTCCTTCTTTCCTCCTTTGTTGTTGTTGTTGTTGTTCTGTTTTCAAGACAGAGTCTCTCTGTGAAGCCCTAGCTGTCTTAGAACTCACTCGGTAGACCAGACTCAGAGATCTGCTGGCCTTTGCCTCCCAAGTGCTGGGATTTTGTGTGCCACCACTGCCCAAGTTTATTTTCACTTTTTGTGACTAAGTCTCATACAGCCCAAGATGGCCTCAAACTCAGTATGTAGCTGGGAATGACCTGGGTGTCTGATTCTCTTACCTGGACCTCCCAAGTGCCGAATCACTCCAGGCACCATCCTGCCCAGCTACTGCCTGAATGCATAGACTCAAGTCTAATTCCCTCTGGTTCCGTCTTAGCTATGTGATGTTTGGGAGACATTGAGCCTCTCTATGCCTTGATTTTCTTACCCACAAAGTTGAGATAATATAAAGTATGTCAGCCAAGCATGGCAGTGCACACCTGTAATCCCAAAACTTGGAAGGTAGAGACAGGATAATGACAATCTCTAGGCTAGCCTGAGCTACATAGTAAAAATGTATCTTGAAAACAAAAAAGCCCAGTGTGGTGGTACATGCCTTTAGTACCCACCACCCAGAAGGCTGTGGATCCCTGTGAGTTCAAGGGCAGGCTGGTCTACATAGACAGTTCTAGGATACTCAGGGATGCATGGAGAAACCCTATCTCAAAAAAGTATTTTAAAGTACTTCAGGGATTGAGACGCAGCTCAGTTGGTAGAGTAGGTGCTGAGCATGCACAATGCCATAGGTTTGATCCCCCAACAACTCATAAACTGAGAATGGTGGCACATATCTGTAATCTTAGCCCTCAGGAGAGAGAGACAGGAAGGTCAGAAATGTGAGGCCATTCTCCACTACATATTAAGTTTGAAGTCAGTCTGAGCTACTTAACAACAAAGCAAAACATGGAAAGTACTTTGGGCCAGCCTGACAAATGAGATAATGCCCATAAATGCCATTAAAACCATGTCTGGCTGAGGACAGATGTGGTTTAGGCGTTTGCTGTAAGGCTAGGTGTGTTGGCACTTGTCTTTAATCCCAGGGCTTGGGAAGCAGAGGCAAGTGGATCTCTATGAGTTCGAGACCAGTCTGTTCTACATAGTAAGTTCCAGGACAGCAAGGGCTATATATAAAAACACTGTCTCTAGAACAACAACCAAACCAAACAACCGAAGAGTTTGGTATGCTTCCCAGTGCTATCATCATTATGCCTACAAGTATGAATGCACCTCCGCTTATGAAGGGTTAGATCTCCGAGTACTTGCCATAGATGACAGCACAGAAAGGTGAAAAAGGAGCAAGATATGAGCCACACAGTCCTCTGCTCTGCCTCCAGTTTGCCTGGCTGGCTGAGAGTTGCAGCTTGCAGGAAAAGTGAAAAACATATGGTGGACCCAGTAACTAGAGATACAGTTTCTACTGAATGTGCAAGGCTTTCCCACCAACGTGAAAGTGATGAGTGAACGGGAGACTGTCCATTGGAGGTTGGAGACTATCCATCTATACTAGGACTACAGCTTACAAAGACAGGTCATACAACCTAGAGGTGGATTCTGTGTATGAGCTAGGTCTCGCTTTAAACTCCTGATCGTCCTTCCTTGGAGTCAGAAGTGCTGGGATTATAGGCATGAGTCCACTACTTCTTTTTATTGTTGTTATATTTTATGTATTTGGGTATTTTGCCGGATGTATGTGTGTACCAGGCATGCATCTGGCGCCCACAGAGACCAGAAGAGGGAGTTGGATCCCACAGAACTGGAGACAGTTGTGAGCTGTCAAATGGATACTTGGATTCAAACTCCTGTCCTCTGGAAAAGTAGCCAGTGCTCTCAACAACTGAGCCATCTCTCCAGCCCTTTATTTAGTTCCTTACTTCCTAGAAAGTTATAATAACCGCTTCCCCTTGCCTCTTAAGAGTGTCAAAGGCTCCCTCTGCTGGACAACCTACGTCTCAAGCTTGGGCTGAGCCCCAAAGCCTGGCAAATCTAGGCTCAGTAAAGTGGGTTGATTGCCCTTTAAGGGGCAGTACCTAGCTTCTGGTTGCCATGGAGACAACTAGTCACAGACTGACTGACCCCAATCAGCATGTCTTCCAAAGTTTCCCTCACAGGTGGGGAATGGGCTGCTCCTGATCTGTGGGTAGAAGGAGAAGGGATTATTTCTCCCTTACAACCTTACCTCAGTGTGGTCTTAGTAAATTCAGCTCCTGGGGACAGGGATCAAGATTGGGGTGCCCCTGTCTACCCTGCCCCTTTCCCCAGGGTCTGACATCTTAGTTTCTCCTTCCTCTTGTAGGCACTAAAGCCAAGAACCAGCCCCATGTAAGCCAGCCGCCGCCGCTGCTGCAGCAGCAAGAGCAGCAGCCGTTCCCAGAGGCCAATGCTGAAGCCATCAGTTTCCTTAACTCTTTCAGTGAGCCAGACGGTGGGGTGGGCATGGGGAGAGGTGGGAGACACGCCCTGTCTCTCTCCCCCCTTGAGACTTGGAAAAGACCTGATACCTATTTGCTAACGTTTGTGGAGGGACAAGCCTATGGGGGGGGGGGTCTTCACCAGCGGGCACCTGTTGATAGCGGGGCGGGGTGGCAGGGCTGGCAAGGACACAGGAGACATGGCAAGGGGTATATGAGTGCTGAGGGGTCTAGAAGCCGAACCTGGAGAGAGCCTCTCTCACCACACAGAGTTGGAGGAACTTCTGTTCTTCTCTGAGACTCTGGCCATCGTCTCCGACACGGGGGAACCTCAGGGAGAGCTGACCATCGAGGTGAAGAAAGGGAAGTACAAGGACAACCTGGGCATCCTGACCCACTCTGTAATGGTTCACGCCTTTAGCCGAGGCTTCCTGGATAAATCGCTGTGTGGAAGCTCCCTCCTAGGTAGAGTTCAGCTGCCAGCTACTCCCCCCCCCCACTAGGCCCCCACTCCAATCCATGTGTCATCAGTCAGCACCTGCAACACCTTGACTTACCTGGGGACTAGGGTGAGCCACCGGGGAGGGGGGAGAGGAGGTTACTCCCAGGACAAGAGCCGTGCTGACCACCCTGTCATTTTCCCATGGCCACATTGCACCAGCCTGGGCTAGCACCTTCGCTAGGGCGGGTAACATCAGCAATTGCCTCCCTGTACCCCAGGCTACCTAACCAATAAACTGGAGCTAATGGAGCAGCACAGCCACGAGTTCATCAAGGTACTTACTCCCAACTTCCTCTAGCCTCATAGCCAGACTAACCTCAAACTTGACATGTAGCTAAGGATGACTTTGAACCCCTAATCTCCCTGCTTTCCCCTCCCAAGTGCTGAACCATTACATCAAGCTACGAGGCTTTCTGTCCATCTGTGTCTGTCTTATTTTTATCTTTTTGCTTTGTCGAGACGGGGATTTTATGTAGATAAGGTTGGACCTCAGCTTAATCCTCCTGCCTCAGTCTCTCAAGTGCTATGATTATAGGAGCGCACCACCATGGCCAGCTGTTTGTCATTTTAAAATGTTTTGTTATTTTGGGGGGAGGACACAAATGTGGGAACCAGTCAGAGGACAATGTCTGGGAGTTGGTTCTCTCTTTTCACCAGAGACTGTAGGATCCAGAGTCCAACTCAAGTGTTAGGCTCTTACACACTGAGACATCTTGCTGATCCAGATTATCATTTTTATTTTAGATCCAAGTCTTTGTACTTCTGTTTTGTCTTTTATAAAGAATGAGACTGAAGGTGGGTGGTGGTGGCACACGCCTTTAATCCCAGCACTCCAGGAGGTAGAGGCCAGCAAATCTCTGTAAGTTTGAGGCTAGCCTGGTCTACAGAGTGAGTTCCAGGACAGCCAGGGCTACACAGAGAAACCCTGTCTCAGAAAAGAAAAGAAAAGAAAAGAAAAGAAAAGAAAAGAAAAGAAAAGAAAAAGAAGACTGACTGTATTTGCCAGTGCTTGGGAAGTCGAGGCGGGGAAATTGCTGCAAGGGCAAGGCTATCCTGGGTTACACAGAGTTCCATGCTCTTCTGAACTACTTTGTCTCAGAAAAACAAAACACACGCAAACAAAATAGACAAAAGATGGCAGCCAGCCTCCCAGGAGTAAGCACTGGATTCTCCCGTGTGTTCCGGCCTGCAGTTTCCCATCCTCCCCATGGAACGGAAGATGAGCATTCTGAGGCAGGATGACCAGATGGTTGTGACCAGAAGTGTCAAGGAGGGCGAGGTAAGAGTGAAAGCCAAGCGGGAACCACCTTCCACATCCTTAGAACCACAGCGGGGACAGGCTTGTGTGTGGCCAGATGCCTAGACCAAGGCCTTGAGAAGAACCATACACCCAACACCCTGCTTGGACACCTCCTGCCTCTTCTGCGCTCCAGGTCTCTGACTCAGATCTGCTCCAAACAGGAAACGAAGACTGGAGTCTCTGTTTTCCCCTGTCAATCACTTAAGGGCTTTGTCTCCAATATCGCCAATCTGGTGCTTCTGAGAGTGATGGCTTGGAGACAGTCAGTGCCCAGCGGTGCTCGCTTCCTGGCCTTGGACACGGAGGGCAAACTATGCTATTGCACCTATGTGAGTACTCTCTCTGGGCAAGGGAACTGGCCTAGGGGCAAACTAGGATAGGGAAGTGGAGTGGGAGAGAGTTGTAACCAAGGTGGGTGGGCATTAAGTCAGGGGGTAGAATGAGATAAGCTAGGACGGGAAGAATAAGAACTGAACTTGGAGAAAGGAAGGCTGAGGATGCAGCAGATGGATTAGCAGTGAATGGGAAGGTGGACAGCAACCTTCTTCACACGAACTTCAATGCACAAAGAAATGTAATGGACGCTTGCTTTTTAAATACACATCCTCTAAGGCTGGAGACATAGCTCAGTGATGCAAGCATGAGGACCCGAGTTTGACCCCCCCCAAACCCATACACCTGGAACACACTTATAATGCCAGAACTGGAGAGGTGAAGACAGCCTGGCTGAATAAGGCAGCCTCAGGTCCCAGGGAGAGACCCCATTTAATAAAAACAAGGTGGGTGTAGAGAGACAGCTCAGGGTTAAGAGCACTCGCTGGAATCAGTCCCCAGCACCCACATGGCAGCTCACAACCTCCTGTAACCCATGTTCCAGGGGATCTAATGTCTTCCTCTTGCCTCTTAGGACACCAGGCACACATGTAATGCATGCATGCATGTATGCATGTATACACATGTAGGTAAAACATGCATACACATAAAAAATTAAAAAACATTTAAAAGAACATAAACAATATGGATAGTTCCTGGAGAACAACACATGCACATGCATGCGGAACACCCACATACATGTGAACTCACGGGCACATGTATACCTGCATGCATAAACAGGTACACACACACACACACACACACACACACACACACACAATACATCATCCAAAGCTAGGCATGGTGTCTGTAATTCCAGCCTGGGAAGTAGAGACAGAAGGGCCAGGAGTTCAAAGTCATTGCTAGCTACCTATTTACTTCAAGACTAGCCTGGGCTACATGAGACCCTGTCTCATCAACAACAACAAAAATCATACATCATCTAGGGCTTTGAAAGTGCTAGGCAAAAGTTTCGCCATTGAGCTATACCTCCATCCAAAGATTTTTTTCAACCGTGTGTGTGTGTGTGTGTGTGTGTGTGTGTGTGTACTCCACAGCTGACTTTCTGTGTGTGTGTGTGTGTGTACTCCACAGCTGACTTTCTGTGTGTGTGTGTGTACTCCACAGCTGACTTTCTGTGTGTGTGTGTGTGTGTGTATTCCACAGCTGACTTTCTGTGTGTGTGTGTGTGTACACCTCCACAGCTGACTTTCTGTGTGTGTGTGTGTGTGTACACCTCCACAGCTGACTTTCTGTGTGTGTGTGTGTGTGTACTCCACAGCTGACTTTCTCTGTGTGTGTGTGTGTGTACTCCACAGCTGACTTTCTGTGTGTGTGTGTGTGTACACCTCCACAGCTGACTTTCTCTGTGTGTGTGTGTGTGTGTAACCACAGCTGACTTCCTGTGTGTGTGTGTGTGTGTGTGTGTGTGTGTGTGTACACTAGCACAAATGTACAAGCAGGTTTGTGCAGGTGGAGGACAGTGGTCAACCACAGGTGTTTTTTCTGTCTGTCTTTCTTTCTTACTGTCTATCTAAACTTTATTTCTCCTCCTAGAATATTCAGTTCATTCAAGATTTTAAAAAGGTCACTGTGGACTGGGCATGTAGATCAGTGGTAAGAAACTTGCCTAGCACAGGCAACACCCTAGGTTTGAATGCCAGCAGCACAAAAAGTCATAAAATCTCATGAAAATAGAGCTGGGTATGTCTTCTTACAATTGGGTCTGGAGATATATGTACTGAAATGCATACATATGGATACTAACTTTCAATATAATATTCTTATGGAATTCTTTTTTTCTTAACTTTTTGAGTTAGCTTGCATCTCAATGTGATGGCCCAAGTTCCTTCAGTATCTTCATGAAGGTTTCTCCCCCATTGGAAGAATTCTGGTTCGATGGTTTTCCATGGTACAATCTGATTGTAGCCTCAGGACCTATCCCGTGTGAACCGTCTGATGCATACTGAGTTGAGACTTTCTGCTGAAGGCACACTAGTGTTTTCCTCCTGTATGGATTCTCAAATGTAATCTAAGAGTTGATCTCTGACGGAAAGTTTTCCCACACTCAGTACACCCGTACGTTTTCCCCAGTGTGAGTTCTCATATGGATGATTATCTGTGAGTTCTAGATAAATGATTTTCTGCATTGACCGCACTCACTCACAGCAGTTTTTCCCCTGATGTATAATGAGGTTTGGTTTCTTTTCTTGGTTTTGTTTTGTTTTGTTTTGTTTTTCAGGACAGGGTTTCTCTGTATTGTTTTGGAGACTGTCCTGGAACTCACTCTGTAGACCAGGCTGGCCTTGAACTCACAGAGATCTGCCTGCCTCTGCCTCCCGAGTGCTGGGATTAAAGGCGTGCGCCCCGTCAGAGGTTTGGTTTTTAAAGAAGGTTTTCGCACCTTCTTTACGCTCATAGGGCCGCTCTCCTGTGTGAATTCTCAGGTGTGTAGTGAGTTCAAACTTCTGAGCAGACATCTTTCTACATTCATCGCGTTCATACAGCTTCTTCTCCATCTGGGCTCTCTGGTGCACAGTGAGGTTTGACTGGTGGGTAAATGCTTTTCCACACTCAGAACATCAAATGGGTTTCTTTCTGGTGCGAATTCTCTGTCATTTGATGAGGGTTGCCTTATGGGAGAAGGTTTTCTTACACACATTCCATTCATAGGGTTTTTCTCCTGTGTGTATCCTCTTATGGCTAATGAGGAATGACTCGAAGGAGAAGGCCTTGTCGCAGTAGACAAAAGGCTGACTAAATTCTTAATTTTCTCATGTTTAAAGATGACTTCTCTATGGCCTTTCCATTCCCATTATAGTCAGAGTATCCTACTCCAGCATGGGGCTTCTCTTATTTCAGATACAGACATGGTTTCCCAAATCCATTGCACTCCTTCTTACACAGCTTCTACTACTAAGAAAGTCTGAGTTATATTTCACAGGTTTTTTTTCATATAATCATCTTCTTCAATTGGTGGTTGGCTCTTGAGGGTTGTAAGTGGCCTCGTCTACTCACCTGGGTCTCTGGGTCCTCTCCACCTGGTCGTTGGCCCTCTGCACTTCCACTGGAAGACAGCTGCTGTAGTTCTCCAGCAGTGCGCCCATGTGTAGAACCCTCTGGGAGGGGTCCAGTTGCTCCCACTCCTCCTGGGTGGAGCCCACAGTTACAGCAGTGAATGAAACTGATCCCTGGGACCCCGTCATTTTCTGTGGTTGGGGTTAAGGCACAGAAGCATGAAGGCACACTCTCCCTGAGGCTGAAAGGGCTGATCCTGTCTCCATGAGCTCTCACCAAGCCTCAGACTGTATAACCTCTCCTCAGCGTGGCTGGAGAATGAATGTCACTTGTTCTTTCTCTCTTTCAGTTTCCTTTTGGAGACAGGGTTTCTCTGTGTACCTCTGGCTGTCCTGGAACTAACTCTGTAGACCGGGCTGGCCTTAAACTTCCAAATGGTGGGATTAAAGATGTCCGCCCGGCTCGGGATTTTTTTCTAAAGCACTGTCCATCCAGTGAGACAAAGTCTCTCGTTGTATGGCACCTCCCTCCACACTGATCCTCATCCCCTGTAGTAAAATGTGCCGACTGGCAGCACCGCCTTGTTGAGACGGCTGGGGAAGGGGTTGTAGGGGTTGGCTGGAGCTGGCAGTGAAGCATTCCCAGCTTATCTTGAGGATGCAACTCAAACTTTGTGGCGTGTGTACTGGTGAGCAGGAATGAAGACCTGGGGAGAGGGAAGGGCTTGAGGAGATGGGGGCACCACGGTAGGCAACCACATCACCGTATTCCCCACTTTGGCTGCTACAGCAATCCCTGGGCTTCCAGACAATCCAAGTGGGCCACCAGCAGGCTGAAATGTTCATCGTGGAACAAACCTTACACTCTGAAGAGGGCATTCCCTTCTCCTGCCAGTTCTACTTGCTCTCTGATGGGTGAGCCACTGGTGGGGAGGACCAGGGGGACACTGTCATGTAACATAGGAGTGTTCAGGCCATGAGGAAAGAACATTCATGGGTAGAATCCAGCAGGGGGTCACTATTGTCCCCAGGATACTGCCGGGACATTTTGTCACTGTGATCTGGGTGTACCTTTGCTTTGTCCTTCTCATTTGCTTTAAAAAAAAAAGTGAGCCCAGGCTAGCCTCAAATGCACAGGGTTTCTCTTTAGCTTTGGAGCCTGTCCTGGAACTCGCTCTGTAGACCAGGCTAGACTTGAACACACAAAGATCTGCCTGTCTCTGCCTCCTGAGTGCTGGAATAAAAGGCGTGTGCCACCACTGCCCAGCTGATACGCATTACTTTTCAAGGCAAGGCTGGATGCTTGCCATTATCTGGACAGGACTCAAGAAATACAAAGATAAGGAGAGGAAGCAGAGTAAACCAGGGACCTCAAGGCAGCTGTCATGACAACACACCACAGATGAGCCTGGACAGGAGCTCACACCTGTCATCCCAGATGAGACAGGAGGATGATCCTAAGTCTGAGGACCATCTACAGTAGAAAGAACTCCTCCAAAAAAGGCAGGCCCAAGTTAAGGGGTGGCTCGGCTGAGAAGGTGATGAGGGAGCTTCCTGCCAAGTCTGATGACCTGAGTTCAATTCCTGGAACCCCCAGAGTAGAAGGAGAGAACCAAATCTCCAAGTTGTCTCCTGACCTCTACATAAGCATGGGCATCACACACACACACACACACACACACACACACACACACACACCAAGGATAAATTAATTTTTTTAAGAGACCAGATGATTTAAGCAATGGCCAGCAGGGTTGGTTCCTGGTGAGATCTCTGGTGACTGCTACCACTCTTCCTCTCTTTAGGGTGTCAGTGGGAAGACAGCTCTCTCTGCTTTCTGTTTCTGTTATGAGGACACCAATCCTCTGATTAGAGCCCCACCATTATGTCCTTCATTTGACCTTAGTCGTTCCCCAGAAGACTCTCATCACACTGGGGGGTAGGTGGGTAGGTGAGGGAGAGCCTCACTCATGATGCTCAACGTCATTGTCGTTAGTTCGGTGGTATAGGAAGACTCTCCCCAACTTGTGTATCGTCCCGCAGGCACCTGGCTAAGAGAATCCAGGTGGGCTCTCCAGGGTGTTGTATCATCACCAAGATGCCCCTCTTGAGGGAAGAGGGTAAGTGGCTCTGGACAGGGTGGGACAGTAAAGGGAGGGTGGGAGGAGCCTGGTCTCTTTTGTTTGGGAAGGACCCAGGGCTCCGGGTGGGACAGGATCTTTGAGTCGGGTGGAGAGGAGGCAGCCCTCCAGCCTCAGGCTCCAAGCGTTAGGCGGGATCTCTGCCATGGGTCTCTCAGCAACAAAGCCCATACTTGAGATTTCCTGGGGTCCCCCTGTGAATGCGAGTGGTGGGTACACAGTTGCCTTGCTCACTCCACTCAGATGTGATTGAGCCTCCGCCCCAGTTTGCTAAGAAGCCCCTGGTGTGGGAGGAAGACATGGAGCTATACTCGAAATTCCTGAACCGGAAGGTGAGAAGCGGCTGCAGCCAGCTAGGGGTCCACCTGTTTTCCTACTGTGGACGGGGAGTGCGAAAATGAGCATGTCCGGGAGATAAGGGGTCCCAGCCCAGCACTCCTTGCTAATCGCATGCGCCCCATGCCCCGCCAGGAGCAGCTACGCCTCAGCCACACCAGCTTTCTGCGGCAGCACCCCGAGGCCCAAGCGCTGATCTCCGACTTCCTGCTCTTCCTGCTGCTCCGCAGGCCGGAGGATGTGGTCACCTTCGCCGCCGAGCACTTTGGGCCCTTCGCGAAGCTGCGCCCGCCGATCCCTGCCCTACGATCCTCACACCGGCCTAACCCTTTCCGCTCGCTGGAGGAGGAGGAAGAGGAGGAGGAAGAAGAGGAGGAGGAGGAGGAGGAGGAGGAAGAGGAGGAGGAAGAAGAGGAGGAGGGAGAGGAGGGAGAGGAGGGAGAGGAGGGAGAGGAGAAGTACTATTACACCGACTACGGTGACTACTACTTCGATGATGAAGACAACAAGGATGATAATGACGACGACGACAACGTCAACGACGAAGACAGCGACAACGATAACGACGATGACATCGATGAAGTCGAGCAGGATGACAACGATGAAGTCGAGCAGGATGACAACGATGAAGTCGAGGAGGATGACAACGATGAAGTCGAGGAGGATGACAACGATGAAGTCGAGGAGGATGACAATGATGAAGTCGAGGAGGATGATGGCGACAACCAGGATTTGGATCTGGAAAAGGACTAGGCAGACAGAGCTAAGAGCGGGAGACTGGGACTGATCCGGTCGGGTATCCAGGCTGCGGGTTCCTTTCCCCGGTGCTACCCGGTCAGCAGGGACTGCCTCTGGCTAGCATCTCTTGTCAAAAATGCAAAGCTGTAATTTTGTTTACCCAGCTAATTTCATCCTTTCTTCCTAGATGCTATTTTCACAGTTATGGCCATTTCAGAGAAAGGAAAATTAAGGCCTGTAGTAAGATGTGTTGGTTCATACACATCCCTAACCAGCACTCAGGAAGCTGACACAGGAACTGCTGTGAGTTTCAGGCAAGCTAGGGCTATGCACCAAGACCCTGTTTCAACTAGGCCCAAACCACCAAAAAATCCTAGCACTTGGCAAAGAAGCAAGTGGATCTCTTCAGTTCCCTTCAGAGCATTTGAGTCCTGTGTGGGCTCCGTAAGATCCTGTAGGGAGGGGAGCAAGATTTTTTTTTTCGAGACAGGGTTTCTCTGTGGCTTTGGAGGCTGTCCTGGAACTCGCTTGGTAGTCCAGGCTGGTCTTGAACTCACAGAGATCCGCCTGCCTCTGCCTCCCGAGTGCTGGGATTAAAGGCGTGCGCCACCAACGCCCGGCAGGGAGCAAGATTTTAACCTGGGGTTAGCCAGGAAAGCCTGCAGTGGCACCCTGAATCTGGACATAATCACCGCCACCTAGAAAAGAATGCACAGAAAGAATGAAGAATGTGAGGGGGGACACGAAACACCCCAGCTCAGCTTCTCAATGCTACAGGCCCTCCACCACTCACCAACACACACGAGACTCCCGCAGGCTGGGCAAGGGATCCCCAGCCTCTCGTTGAGAAGAAAAAAAAGAATAGACAGATACCCATCACTACCCCTAGGTTCCTTGCTTGCCCCCAGCTCTGGCCTGCTGCTGGCTGTGGGCAAGTCCTCTGAGGTGGTTGGTAGTTGGGGTGCAGGCACTGTGCCTCCGTTAATGCTTCTGGTCATCGGCCATCAGCCCCACTACTTTGAAATGGGAGAACTCCAGGATGTAATGAATAGTATGAGTCTTGGCTGCAAGGCTGAGGAATATTGAGAGAAGGCAGTGTCTGTCTCTCAGAGCAGTCACTTCAGAAGACTTCACAGAGAGCTGCCACTTATTTTGGTTTTGGTTTTTGAGACATGGTTTCTCTATGTAACAGCCCTGGCTGTCCTAGAACTAGCTCTGTAGACAAGGCTGGCCTCGAACTCACAGAGATCCAAGTGCCTCTGCCTCCTGAGTGCAAGCGACACCACTGCCCAATGAGCTTCGCAAAAAAAATTTTTATGTCCATCCCCCCCCTTTATATAAAAAAGAAATGCTTTCACAAGCTGGGTGGTGGTAGTGCAAGCCTTTAATCCCAGCACTTGGGAGGCAGGGGCAAGTGGATCTGAGTTCAAGTACAGCATGGTCTACCAAGCTAGTTCCAGTACAGCCAGGGCTACACAGAGAAACCTGGTCTTGAAACCTACTACCCCCAAATTCATAACAAAAGGGGGATAAACCCATAACCAATAAAAATCATCTCAGTTTCTCTATATAGAGGTCTGCACGTACACACACACACACACACACACACACACACACACACACACTTGTTTTTATTATTCTGGGGACAGAACCCAGGACCTCACATATACTAGGCAAGCACTTTACCACAGGACTTAATCCTAGTCCCTGTCGAGAATTTTTCAATAGTTTTTTTTTTATATATAATTCCAATGGTTTAGCAAAATGAAACCATACCGGTAACACATGTTTGCTAGTTATTAATTGGATACTTAACTGTATTATTGAAAATTTTCAGATATTACTCATGAAGCTGAAGTATCCCTAGATCCCACTACAATTCCATTGAATTTTGAAACATTATTTCATGTGTTCAAGCTGACATTTCTGGGGCTGGAAAAATGGTTCAACAAGTAAAAGTGCAATCTGTACAAGGCTGAATACCCAAGTTTCATAATTGGAACCCACATGGAAAGCTGATGTGGCTAAGCATGGTGGCACATGCCTATAATCCCAGCACTCGAAAGCAAAAGCAGCTGGATCTCTGTGAGTTCAAAGCCAGCCTGATGCCTGCATGGTAAGTTCCAGAGCAGTCAGGGCTGCATGGTGAGGTCCTGTCTCACAAACAAACAAAAAAAGCTGAATATGGTGCCTTGAATCTGCAATCCAACCACTTCTGTGGCAAGACTGGAGTCAGAGGGCTGCAGAGATGGCTCAGTGGTTAAGAGCACTGGCTGCTCTTCCAGAGGACCCAGGTTCAGTTCCCAGCACCCACACGGCAGCTCACAACTGTCTGTGACTCCATGTCCAGGAGATCTGGCACCCTCACACAGGCAGACGATCAGGCAAAACACCAATGCAGTAGAAATGAGAGAGACCCTGCTCAATGAGGTAAAAGATGGAACCAAACACACACCACACGTGGGCACCTGTACACACACACACACACACACACACACACACACACACTGCTCATCCATCAGTATATTTAGCTTATTTTTGTTTGTTTGTTTGCTCTATGGACAGTCCCATCATGTACTCTAGGCTAGCCTCAGCCTTTCAACTGTTGGGATTAGAGGTGGACACCACCATCCCCAGTCTATTAATGTGTTTAGAATATACATCTAATATCATACAGCCTTCTGTTTTCCTGCTTCCCTGTATGTTGGTAGGGATCCAACACAGAGCTTCATGCATGCTAAATACACACTCTAACACTGAGGAACATACACCATTTTCTTTGTTATTCTTTGGTCCTTTTTCTTGGGGGAGCATTTGTTCTAAAGACTCTGTTTTAAAACTATTACGCAGTTTTATTATGTGTTTTTAAGAAGATTAAACTCAAGGAAATTAGGGTGTGTGTGGTTTGGTTTGGTTTCTAAGACAGCTTTTTTTGTTTGTTTGTTTTGTTTTTTGAGACAGTGTTTCTCTGTATTGCTTTGGAGGCTGTCCTGGAACTCTTAGATCAGGCTGGCCTCGAACTCACAGAGATCCGCCTGCCTCTGCCTCCCGAGTGCTGGGATTAAAGGCATGCTCAACCAACACCCGGCTCACACTGGCCTCGAATTCACGGAGTAGTCAAGGACTACATGGAACTTTTGATCCGCTTGCCTCCACCTCCCAAGAACTAAGATTATGGGATCACCACACTTGACCTGGATTTTATACTTTGATACAATGTCTCCCTATGTCACTCAGACTGGCCCAGCCCAGTCTTTTATTCTTTATTTTGATGCTGTATTGTATTCAATCAACTTCCCTCTCTCTCTCTCTCTCTCTCTCTCTGAGACAGAGTTTCTCTGTGTTAATAGTCCTGGCTGTCCTGGAACTCACTCTGTAGACCAGGCTGGCCTCGAACTCACAGAGATCCGCCTGCCTCAGCCTTCTGAGTGCTAGTGTACCATACCACCACCCAGCCCTCAACTTCTCTTTTTTGATATTAGAAACATTGCTGCATTGCCCATCCCTGTGGCTCTGTCTTTATATACATTAACATTTTTGTTTGTTTTTGAAACAGAATCTATAGCTCTGGTGGGTTTAGAACTCACTGTAGCCAGTTGTGTAGTACACACCTTTAATCCTAGCATTGGGGTGGTTTAATGGCAGGGGGCTCTCTGTGAGTTCCAGGCCAGCCTGGTCTACATAGAGAGAATTCACTGTGTGGAACAGCAGGCTGGCCTTGAATTTGTGACCCCTTCTGCTTCCATCTCCTGGGTGCTGGGACTGCAGGTATGGACCAGAACACCTGGGTTAGCCATTACTTCCTTAGAGGCTCACTCTGATTAATGGAATTATTGAATTGCTTTGGAGGCTTTTAGCATATTGCATATTATACATTTGTATTGCTTTTGTCAAGGGCACATAGGCATTTCAGGAAGAGGAAGTGACCCCAGCAAAAGCAAATAGGAAAGCGGACCCATCCAACACAGCTTTTCTACCGAGCCAGGCATGATGACGTGGTCCTGGAACCCAGTCTATTTCAGAGCCTGAGGCAGGAGGAAGACAAAGTCAAGGATTATTTGGGGTACAGAGTGAATTCTAGGGCAGCCTGAACAACTTAGTTAGGTCTTGTCCCAAAATAAGAAGTTAAAAAAAGTTTGGGGGGCGTTATGCTGGGGACATAGCTCAGTGGTAGAGGGCCTAGCTAGTACCACTGAGGACCTAGTACTGCAAACCAAAACTGAACAAACACAGGCTATCTATCCTTTTGAAGGTGCAGACTCATCCTCTGTTGTCTTCCTTTACTAATCCTTTGACTGAATCTTGTGTTTCCTGAAAACCATCACCATGATGAAACCACCCCCTGCTTAATTGGGACTTCTCCTTTTGAAACTGCTCTGCTGTTTAATCACCACAAATGGCCTGTCGTTTAGATACACTACATGAAAAGGCTTTGCTGACCGAATTAGTCCATCAAGACTATTATAAGAAAATATCCTGGGGCTGAAGAGTTAGTTGGCTTAGCAGTTAAGAACTCTTGTTCTAGCCGGTGGTGGTGGCACGCCCCTTTAATCCCAGCACTCGGGAGGCAGAGGCAGGTGAATTTCTGTGAGTTCGAGGCCAGCCTGGTCTACAGAGTGAGTTCCAGAAGAGAACTCTTGTTCTTTGGAAGGACCCAGGTTTGATTCCTAGCACCCACATGAAGGTTCATCACTTTTTTTCTTCTTTTGATTTTTTTTGAGACTGGGTTTCTCTGTGTAGCTTTGGAGCCTGTCCTAGAACTCGCTCTGTAGACCAGGATGGCTGCGAACTCACTTGCCTTTGTTTCCTGAGTGCTGGGATTACAGGCATGTACCACCACTACCCGGTGGCTCATAGCACCAGGAAGGCACGTGGTGCACAGACGTGCGTGCAGGCACTCATATGAATAAAATAAATCTAAAACATTAAATGAGAAAAGAAAATACCTCAAGTCCAGTATGGTGGACACACTTTTAACACCAGCACTTGGGAGGCTGAGGCAGGAGAACCTTGAGTTCAAAGTCAACATGTTGATGAAGGGAAACCCTGTCTCAAATGTGTGTGTATACATATGATATATATATGTGTATATATATATATATATATATAAGAAAATGAAAACAAATTACCTAAACTGTGAAATCTACAGGCAACAGAAGCAGAAATTTAGCCAGGCAAGGTGGTATACACCATGATTGTGTGTGTGTGTGTGTGTGTGTGTGTGTGTGTGTGTGTGTGTGTGTTCATATGTGAATATGCAATGTCCTCAGCATCCAGAAGAGGTTGTCAGATCCCGTGAAGCTGGAGTCACAGGCAGTTGTGAACAGCCTGGTATAGGTACTGGGAACTGAACTTGAGTCCTCCACAAAAGCAGTTCCCCTTACTTGCTTGTTGGTTTGTTTACTTGTTTTTTTGTTTGTTTGTTTTGTTTTATTTTGGGAGACCTTGAGAGAGGGACTCAAGAAGCATAGGCCAGCCACCTGACCTGTACCTCTTGGATTCAGGTATGAGCCACTGCTCCCTGTTTATGCTGAGGACAGAACCCACTAGACAAGCACTCTACCAAATGAGCTACGTGCTCAGTCAGCCCCTCAAAGCTCGGTCATAAGGGCAACGAGCTCATTCATGATTGTAGAGTCCTTGAGACCTAATAACACTCCCAAGGGTCCTGCCTCTTAATACTATCATCAACTTGGTAGTGACTTTAACACATAAATGTTGTGAGGCCATGAATATTTTGATGATAATGGTGAGCAAACCTAAGGAGTCACTGTGAGCATCAGTGTTCATGACATTCCGAATTCCATAGAACTGATGTAGACCACCACAATTACAGTCCAGACTGGTCTTAATTTCACTTTGTAGCCCAGGTTGATCTTGAACTTAGGGTGCTCTTCCTGTATCCTCTGCCCAAGTTCCATAATGGTTGGCATGTAGTACTACGCCCAGCCAGCATGATATTTGGGGTGTTATCTGTATTATCTAATGCATCAGAATTCCATGATGTTCTAATCCCAAGTTACATTCCATTCCATGTCCACACTATATTGTATTTATCCATGTGTTGACAGACACTTGGGTATTTTCCATTCCTGGGTGAATAATGTTCCTAGGAACTGATGTTCAAATATCTGTTTGCATTTCTGGGTTTTTTTTTGTTTGTTTGTTTTTGTTTTGTTTTGTTTTTTGAGACAGGGCTTCTCTGTGGCTTTAGAGGCTGTCCTGGAACTAGCTCTTGTAGACCAGACTGGTATGGAACTCACAGAGATCTGCCTGCCTCTGCCTCCTGAGTGCTGGGACTACCACCACCCAGCTGCATTTCTGTTTTTCACCATAGTTGGAATACTGACATTGATTCAATTTCATGGACCATTATCCTGGACCATAATATCCTCACTTTCTCTTAGACTCATTAGCTGTGGAAGGGTGCATGGACATGTGGGTATATTAAGCCCTGTAAAGTTGGTTCATATGTGGTTTCCATATCTACCACATCACAACACCACAAGCCTGCTTCAAGTGACTTCTACAACCACATCCATCCTCCACCTGATCTATCCCTGACCTGGGGCAACCACAGATCTGATCTTCCTATCTTGAATGCTTCCATTGTAAAAGTGCTATCTAAACAGGAAAACAGGGGCTGGGGCAATGGCTCAGTGGATAAGAGCATTTGCTCTGCCAGCATGAGGACCTGAGTTCTAATCCTTAGCATCCATATAAAACGTCAGACATGGCTGCAGACAGAGAATAAAACACTTGATATCTTTGTTTTGGGCTCTGTATGAGCTGGGCTCTGTCACACACATGCATATACTACACATCAACACACCTACCGTCCCCAAGGTCTCTCTCTCTCTCTCTCTCTCTCTCTCTCTCTCTCTCTCTCTCTCTCTCTCTCTCTCTCTCTCTCTCATATCTCCAAACACACACACACACACACACACACACACACACACACACACACACACACATGGATACCAGGCAGGTGTGATACGTACCTATAATCTCAGCACTCAGGATGCAGAGGTAGGAGGATTGTGAGTTTGAGGCCAGCTTGAGCTACCTACATTCTGTCTTGAAAAATCCAAGGATGAAGCTACAAGTCAATGGTGGGGCACTTGCCTAGTGTGTGCAAGGCTCACCTGGAACTCACTATTTGTCTTAGTCTCTGGAGTACTAGGGTTGAAGACATGTGCTACCACGGTGAACTAAGGGTAAACTTTTGATAGTGATCCCCCCTTTTTTAACCTAAGCACATGGTATGCCAGCGCTCTACACTAAACTGCTCCCCTACTGCGATTTGATTTTACTTTTCATTTAGAGACAAGGTTTCACTAGTTTGTTTGGACCTTAAACTCAATTCTGCAGCCCAGGCAGGCTTTGGACTGGACTTTTCATTCAGTGTAACTTCCTGAAGATTTATCCACGTTGTTATATGTAGTAACAATTTGTTTCTTTTACTGCCAAGCAGTGATTCACTCACCAGCTGATGGACAGCTGGGGTAATTCCAGCTTTGGGCTATTACAAATAATGTTGCTATAAACTCCATGTACAGGCTTTTGTTTGGACAAATGTTTAATTTCTCTGGGGCAAATGCCCAAGGATTCATTCTGTGGTATGGATGCAGCATTCACCCTTGGCAGGACCTGAGAAATATTTTCCTCTGAGATCCTCGAAGGCATACAGGAAGGACAGATGGACTCTCTGACTCCCTCCCTCACATTAGGTCAACTCATGGCCCTTGATCTTCAGACTGAGATGAAAGGCCTGACTGTATGAGTGTGTGTGTATGAGCATTTGTGTGTGTGTGTGTATGAGCATGTATATGTGTGTGTATGAGCATGTGTGTATGTGAGCATTTGTGTGTGTGAGAGTGTGTGTGAGAGAGTGTGTGAGTGTGTGTGGTGTGTGTGTGTATGAACATTTGTGTGTGAGTGTGTGTATGAGCATTTGTGTGTGTGAGAGTGTGTGTGAGTGTGTGTGGTGTGTGTATGAGCATTTGTGTGTGTATGAACATTTGTGTGTGAGTGTGTGTATGAGCATTTGTGTGTGTGAGAGTGTGTGGTGTGTGTGTATGAGCATTTGTGTGTGTGTGGTGCGTGTGTGTATGAGCATTTGTGTGTGTGAGCATTTGTGTATGTGTGAGTGTGTGTATGAGCATTTATGTATGTGTGAGTGTGTGTGGTGTGTGTATGAGCATTTGTGTGTGTATGTATGTATGAACATTTGTGTGTGTGAGCATTTGTATGTGCATGTATATATATGTGTGTGTATGTGTGTGTATGAGCATTTGTGTGTGTATGTGGTGTGTATGTTTATGAGCATTTGTGTGCGTATGAGCATTTGTGTGTGAGTGTGTGTATGAGCATTTGTGTGTGTGAGCATTTGTGTGTGTGTGAGCATTTGTGTGTGTGTGAGCATTTGTGTGTGTATGAGCATTTGTGTGTGTATGTATATATGTGTGTGTTTATGAGCATTTGTGTGTATATGTGGTGGGTGTGAGCATTTGTGTGTGTGTGGTGTGTGTGTATGAGCATTTGTATGTGTATGTATATATGTGTGTGTTTATGAGCATTTGTGTGTGTGTGTGATGTGTGTGAGCATTTGTGTGTGTGTGAGTGTGTGTGTATGAGCATTTGTGTGTGTGTGGTGGTGGGGGGGCTACCATGAGATGTGACCACTAATACCCAAAAGGCAGGAAGTGCCTGCAATCAGATAAATTTGGGGTACCTGGAACAAGACCAGAGGTATTATGCATCACAGGGTAGCCAGGAGAGGAACAAGGGTCAAAGCTGTGGGTTACCAGCCCCTTCCGCTACCACTGGCCACTTCTGCGTTTGGTGTTTCGAAACACCAAATGTGTGAAATTGTGGGCATGCACTTGGTGATGCAGAGATGGGAGTCTGACCAGGATGGGAAGGGTGCGGGTTCCCCCACTCTTACTCACTTGTACCAGCACCCATAGAAGGGGACAGATTGAGAAGCTGCTGGGCCTGCTGTTCACACACAGACTGTATCAGACACCTGCGTCCTCATGATTCGTGAGTGATGACCTCTAGGGACCTACTGTGATTTGAGTGGGGGAGGGTGAATGAGGAGACCAAGAGACTTGAGGCAGCAAGTCTGTGGGGCTCTGGCCTGCCAGACACACTGGAGTCAGGTGCTTCTGTGGATTAAAGCTGATGGGGGAGGCAGAGCATGGGGCCCCAGCAAGTTGGGGACCTTGGCTTGCCCTTCCCTGGGCCTCACATCTCACAAATCCCCTGACTCAGAAGATTTGGATTGGAGAAGCTCTGTGCTCACTGGGAGGGAAGTGATTCTTGAAACCTCTGCTTGACACAGGGATGGAATGACCAGTCGCAGTGGGTGGACCGGGTGGAGGAGGCAGGTAGCTTGAATCCTAGGCTCTTGAGAGAAGCACACACCCGCCTAGCATCCTGGGGTCCCTCACAGGTAACAAGAGTCCCCAGAGGCTGAGCAGGCCTAGCTATGGCTCCATTTCCAGCCTGCCTGGCACAGCACCTCCAAAAGTGCCTCCCCAGGAGACCTACTTGAGCGAGAAGATTCCCATCCCCAGCACAGAGCAGGTAGGCATGCTGGGAATGTTCTGAGAGCTTTCTGGGTCTTCCAGATGCTCTGAGGACTTGCAACATCTTCTTTGACCCGAGGCAGTAGTTAACTGGGTATTCTGTAGTTACTTGAAAATGTCAAATGGTTCTCAAGAGAACCCCAGCTTTCCGGTGAGGGGAGAGACAGCCTGGAGGATGTTTTAGCGCTGGATGAAGGGACCAGGCAGGGGAATGCAGAGTAAAGAGAAGCATCAGGCTGATTCTAGGATGCTGCCACCCCGTCTAGCCATGATCTTTCTTCTTATAATGTATTACGTTTATTTGCTTATCTGTGTGCATTTGCATATGTGTGTGTAGGTGTGTCCAAGCTATAGCATGCATGTGGGGGCCAGAAGATAACTTGTGGGTTTCAGGCTTGGTGTCAAGGGCTTTTACCCTCTGGGTACTCAGTCTCAGTCTCTATAGCCACAGTCTAAGCAGATTCCTAGGCTGACTGGCCAGACACAGAAATAGGGTCGAGTGACTGAGACCTCAAAGTGGTCCCCAGAGAGAAGGGCGTGTGGTGTGAGAAAGGCTGGGGAGGGAACAGCTGAAGCAGGGAGATTTAACGACAACATGGTCCCTCTCTGGGACTCCGAGGTCTGTAGACAAGCCTGCAAGAGCTCACGTGCTAGTCAGCTGCAGAATGTGACCCTTCCAAAAGGCAGCACCACGGTGACTCAGCACATCCCACTGGTGCCTCAGGGTTGGGGGCAGCACTGGGTGGGCAGGGCTGGCCAGCCTGGGCTGAAGATGCCTGCTGAGTCCAGTGGAGGGGCTGGCCAAGGCCAGCCAAAACCACCCCGCTAACTAAGACGGCCCGATTCTGCTTACTCCTCCAGGGCACATTCAGCCTGAGGAAACTGTGGGCTTTCACGGGGCCTGGCTTCCTCATGAGCATTGCTTTCCTTGACCCAGGGAACATTGAGTCGGACCTTCAAGCTGGTGCGGTGGCTGGATTTAAAGTACTCAATCTGAGCCTCTGTGCTGGCTTTGTGGGGAGGGCGGTGTCTTGGCTAAGAGAGTGAAGACCCCAGTTCTCCATGGCAAGCTGCATGGGTGGTTTGCCTGGGAACAGGGTTAAGTTCAAGTGGGGAGAGGCGGGTAAGGGGTGGAGGGTGGGGAGTGGGGGGCTGGGTGGTTGGGGGTAGGGTGATGTCGGTGCTCCCAGGGAAGCCCCTCCAGAAAGAAGGTCTTCCCACCCCGCCCATCCCTGTCCAGGAGGCACTGCTTTGACTGAGGCTCCTCTTGCTCTTTCCCAGCTGCTCTGGGTGCTGCTCTGGGCCACTGTGCTGGGCTTGCTCTGCCAGCGGCTGGCTGCCCGGCTAGGTGTAGTGACAGGCAAGGACTTGGGTGAAATCTGTCATCTCTACTACCCTAAGGTGAGCCGGGAAGAGGCAGAGGGAGGGGTCATGGATGGGAAGCACCTACAGGTCTCAATCCCTGAGCAACTGTTTATAGCTTCCCCAACAAAATAAATACATCATCAGTTCCCAGGCATCACAGGTCCAGCTGGCTAAGGAAAACACAGGTTCAATTCATAGCAGCTCAGGGATAGTCACCGCTGGGCTGGGGATCTTGAGTATTGTTGATGTCCACTCAAGACCGCCAAAATATCACCATGAGATATTTCAAAGGGAAGTTTGTTTTATTGATTCACTTGTGTCTTGTGTGTTTGTTGCACAATTGGAGATTAAACCCAGGAGCTCCTGATGCTAAGATGAGCAATCTACCACAGAGCGACTCTCCAGCCCCTTTTTCAAATTTAACCCTTTCAGGAGTCAGAAGGGCTGGAAGTGCAAGGGCAAAAAGTGTCACTAAAGCTGATAACCCCTTCCCCACACCATAAGTGCCCCAAAGCAGCCTAGAAGCTTGCAGCCCGGCTTAAGTCACCATGAGAACACCTGCAGCCTCATAACCGTCACTGCCAAAAATGCCACCAGGAGCAGGGGAACCCATTTCTCTCAATATCTATTGGAATTAATCTGTATCTGCTGCTAAAACGAAGTCCTTGAAGCTGGATCATCTGGTAGGATATATATATATATATACATATATATATATATATATCCAGGTTTAGTAATAATGCACTCCTTTAATCCCAGTATTCAGGAGGCAGAGACAGGTAGCTCCCTGTGAGTCTGGTCTACTTAGTGAACTCTTAAAGAGAGACACACTATCCTATACCCCAGGCCACCCAAAAGAAGAAAGAAAACAAAGGAAAGATTAGTCTGGGTACAACACAATGATGGAGTACATGCCTAGCATCATGTACAAGACCTGAGTTGACTCTCCAGCATAGCAATACAAAAGCGGGGAGGGGGGCAGGACAAAAGTCTGATTAGCTCCCATCTCTACACGTTCAAGGTGCCAATTTCTGCTTGGCTTTATTTGGGGGGTGGATGCATGGGACTGGACCTAGGATCCCCATCAGTGCAGGCAAACACTACCACTCTGAGCTGTGTCCTGGCCATCTTTCTTCTTTGAGACAGGGTCTTACCAAGCTGCCCCAGGCTGTCCTTGAACTTACTCTTCCTCCTGCCTCAGCTTCTGGGGTGTCAGCCCTGTGTCACCAGGTCCGTCTTCTGATCTAAAGGGTTCCACCACATCTCAACATGAGACCAAGCTTCCAGCACACAAACCCTCGTGAGACACAAAGATGCCATAGCAAACTCCTTTAAGTATGTCTTATTTTGTTGTTTTTGTTTACCGAGACAGCGTTTCTCTGGCTGTCCTGAAACTCACTCTGTAGACCAGGCTGGCCTCAAATCCACAACAATCCACCTGCCTGTGCCCCCCCCCCCCCCGCCCAGTGCTGGGATTAAAGATGTGCACCACCACTGCCCAGCTGTCTTATAAAACCAGCTGGTAATGTAAAAGCGTGCAGGCTGCCAATCCTACAGCTCAGTGCAGAGCACCAAAAAGTGAAGCGTACAATGCCACACATCTTGCCTTCTTTTAAGGAAGCAACATTCTCCTCCCCATAGGTGCCCCGGACGGTCCTCTGGCTGACCATCGAGCTAGCCATTGTGGGCTCAGACATGCAGGAAGTCATCGGCACAGCTATCTCCTTCAATCTGCTCTCTGCTGGACGGTATCATGCTAGGGAACCCACCCCAGTCCAAGGCTGGAGGGAGCCACTGTCGCCTCCGGGCCGACGACCTCCCTGTGTCTTATCACACCATTCCTTACATGTAGGGCTGATATGAATCTGCTTCTCAGAATGTAAGGTGACACGTGTAAAGTCACACACATATGAGTCACATGGCACAGGCCAGGGCTCCCTGCCACACCTGGTCCCCCTACCCGGTTTTGCCCTTCCTGGATGTTTACCCTTGTTAGGCACACCCCACTCTCTGCTACCCTAGCTGTCCAGGCCACTTGGGTTCCTGACTCTCCACTGAGGGTAGGAACTGCAGATCTGGGCCATGCTGGGCTGACCTGACCTATGTGGTTTCAGTATCCCCCTGTGGGGTGGCGTCCTGATCACCATCGTGGACACATTTTTCTTCCTCTTCCTGGATAACTATGGTGAGAGAAAATCCCTCTTCTTCGTGGGTGAGAGCGGGTAGGGCTGCTGTCCCCTTTACTCCAGCTGTGTGCCTTGAGCAAGGGCTTCCGGTTTCATCTTCTGTAACACGGGAAAGAACAGCCCAGACGTCATAGGGTTGTGGTGAAGTTTCAATGAGGAAAATGTATGTTAAGCTCTTGGCCCAGTGCCTGGGACAGAGTGCTCAAAACGGCCACTCAAGTGTTTATGTGACAGGAGTTTGGAGTTTGTTTTTTTTTATACTCCTTTGCCTGCCATGCCCCTAGGATTGCGCAAGCTGGAAGCTTTCTTTGGACTTCTTATTACGATTATGGCTTTGACCTTCGGTTATGAGGTGGGAAATCAGAGTTATACCCTTTCCTCAAGATCACTTCTTTCCCTTCCTTTTGGGTAGACTGGGAGGTCTAGGGAAACAGCCCTTAGGCACGCTCCTTGCCCGCCTGTGGGATGGGGTGGAAGGGAGGGTGGGTTTAGTGGGATGACCAAGTTCCCTCCAACAGTACATGGTAGCACGCCCATCCCAGGGAGCGCTTCTTCGGGGCCTGTTCCTGCCCTCCTGCCCGGGCTGTGGTCAGCCCGAGCTGCTGCAGGCAGTGGGCATTGTTGGTGCCATCATCATGCCCCATAACATCTACCTGCACTCAGCCTTGGTCAAGGTGAGCAGAGGGGAGAGAGGGATGAGGAGCCCGTTTCTGAGCCTGGACTCCTGTCTCTTGGGGGACTTAGACAAAAAACAGAGTCATTCTCTGCTGTTCAGTCCACCTGTAATAATGGGTCTGGGGTGTGCTGGGAGCTGGGGAAAGCGTGTAAATCAGTCAAGTCCTTACCCCCCCCAGAAACATCTGCATCTTAGTGTGGGGATACAGACGAGGACAAAGTAAACAAAGGAAGGAATTGTGGATGATGAACGGGGCTCACTAAGAAACAAGCTGAAATCTGGTAGATAGACCGAAGGACGGAAGATGGCGTTGAAATCAGGGAGAGCAGCAAACGCAGAGGTGGTCCTGAGGCAGAGATGAGCCAGACACGTTCAAGATGAAGCATATTGGATGAGGGGGGGCACATCAGGACTGAGTATTGGATGAGGGGGGCACATCAGGACTGAGTATTGGATGAGGGGGGCACATCAGGACTGAGTATTGGATGAGGGGGCACATCAGGACTGAGTATTGGATGAGGGGGGCACATCAGGACTGAGTATTGGATGAGGGGGGCACATCAGGACTGAGTATTGGATGAGGGGGCACATCAGGACTGAGTATTGGATGAAGGGGGGCACATCAGGACTGAGTATTGGATGAGGGGGGCACATCAGGACTGAGTATTGGATGAGGGGGGCACATCAGGACTGAGTATTGGATGAGGGGGGGCACATCAGGACTGAGTATTGGATGAGGGGGCACATCAGGACTGAGTATTGGATGGGGGGCACATCAGGACTGAGTATTGGATGAGGGGGCACATCAGGACTGAGTATTGGATGAGGGGGGCACATCAGGACTGAGTATTGGATGAGGGGGGGCACATCAGGACTGAGTATTGGATGAAGGGGGGGCACATCAGGACTGAGTATTGGATGAAGGGGGGGCACATCAGGACTGAGAGGGACCTCAAAGGCCAGGTGTTCCTTCATTCATGTAACCTGTCACTGCGGACCAGACCTCTGGCAAGGGCAATGATTTAGGAAGGGGACAGTGAACCAGGACCTGAACCAGACTACTTGCTACCTAGGGGGCTTTCAAGGCTCTGTGACTCAGAGGGAACACAGGTATTTGTGGGGGTAGAGAACACTGGGGACCTTTCAGAGACTTTGGTCCTTCCCTCCGCCTCTGACCTTACTAGTCTAGAAAGATAGACAGAAGCCGCCGAGTGGACATTCGAGAAGCCAACATGTACTTCCTGATTGAAGCCACCATCGCTCTCTCTGTGTCCTTCATCATCAACCTCTTTGTCATGGCTGTTTTTGGTCAGGCTTTCTACCAGCAAACCAATGAGGAAGCGGTGAGCCAAACTGTTCCTATGTACCAGCGGGTTTGTGTGTCCGACCCCACCAGCCCTTCAGCTCTGCCGGGGGCTTCGGGTCACACGGTCACATCTCCCAGAGTCTCTGCTGGACTCTGAGTTCTAGGGTCCTCTCTCCTCATCGTCCCAGAAGACAGCTGTCAATCACTTTGCCACAATGGCCGAGCTGTCGCTTTGGTACCGGGCACCACCTGAGAGCCACAGGGTAAAGCGAGCCAGGAGTCCTACACCTTGCTCTTGTAGGTGCCACACCCAGGGACGATGTGACGAGACAGGACGCCAGCTGTCCACCAATGGGTGCTCAGCGAAGTTCAGAGTTGGAACAGTGCAGGGCGGCGGCTATGGGCAGAGATGCAGAATGTCTGGGACTGGTGGGAGCCGGGTCCCTTGACTGCTGCGTCCCTCTGGAGCAGCAGTTGACCTGCTCCTACTGGCTCTGTGGGATCTAGACTTGGGTCTGTCACTAAGAGTAGTCCTCCATCATGGGACTGTCACAGTCCTAGCCAGTGCTACACACTTGCTAAAAGCTGGGTCCTCTGTGTGTGGGTGGGGGTGGGGGTGGGAGGCATCAGGGCAGGAAGCAGCTGGGATTTCCTAATCATTGCACTTGGAAGGCCTTGCTATCTGTCCTGAGTGTGTGAGGGGGGCACCCCTCCCCCCGTGGCTCCCTACTACCCAGCATGAGGGAAGAGGACTCTACAGGGGAACTTCCTATATTCTTGCTTTTTTTGGGGTGGACAGTTTGTTTCGTTGGTTTTGGTTTCTGAGACATGGTTTCTCTATGTGTCACTCTGGCTGTCCGGGAACTCACTCTGTAGACCAGGCTGGTCTTGGAATTACAGAGATCCACCTGCCTCTTTAATCCAGAATGCTGGGACTGAAGGTGTGCCTGTTTTCAAGTTCAGGTGACTCTGCAGGGCTCTTTGAGAAAGAGGGATGTGGGGATGTAGTGGCAGTGCCAGCTCTTACTGACCCCAGAGTCTAGAAGCTCAGCTCCCATGTGAAACTCATAAGAGAAATAAAAACAAGCTGGGCTTGGTGACCATGCCTTTAAACCCAGCATTCTGAAGGCAGAGGCAGGCAGATGTCTATGAGTTCAAAGCCAGCCTGGTCTACATAGGGAGGTTTCAAGACACACAGGGCTTCATAGAGATACTTTGTCTCAAAAAAAGAAAGAAAAGAAAAGGAAAACCATTATTAGCAAAGTATGTCTGGCCAGATTTAGACTGCCATGCTTCAGATTTTAAGTAGATCAGCATCCGGGGTCCTGATTTTCCAAAAGTGAGTTTGTGTTTTCCCACCTCCCTCCTACTGACTTCCGCCCGCAGTTCAACATCTGTGCCAACAGCAGCCTCCACAACTATGCTAAGATCTTCCCTAGGGACAATCACACAGTGTCAGTGGATATTTACCAAGGAGTAAGTGCCACTCAGGCCAGATGTCTGGCCACGCCTTGTTGGGGGTGGAGCCTCTGGCGGGCGTGGCCTCTGCCTGATCTCACCTTCTCCCACTAGGGTGTGATCCTGGGCTGTCTCTTTGGCCCTGCTGCCCTCTACATCTGGGCAGTGGGTCTCCTGGCAGCCGGGCAGAGCTCTACTATGACCGGCACCTATGCAGGACAGTTCGTCATGGAGGTGGGCATGGAGGGCCCACGGGCCAAAGACGGCAGCCACCCTGCCGGAGGCTTGGACGCTGGGCCTTTCTGAGTTGCAGAGGGGCGAGATGACAGACAGAATCCCCAAAGTTGTTCCATATTCAGCAACCAGTTATGGGAATTCTCCCTCTCCCACGCATCCCCTCCCTACCAGCAAGAGTCAGAGCTGCCCCCATTTCCAAGATGGACAGGTGTAGGGGTGAGGCTGGGGGGTCTGAGACAACATAACCACCAGCTCCATCCGGGTGCTCGCTCACTCTCAGGGCTTCCTGAGGCTGCGGTGGTCGCGCTTCGCACGGGTCCTCCTCACTCGCTCCTGCGCCATCCTGCCCACTGTGCTCGTGGCTGTCTTCCGAGACCTGAGGGACCTATCGGGCCTCAACGATTTACTCAATGTTCTGCAGAGTCTGCTGGTGAGACCATGGTCTAAAGAGGAGCACAGGACCCCCCTCCTGGTCCCAAAGAGCTCTCTAGCTTTGACCCTAAACCCTCACAGGATTCCACAGTGACCCTAAGCAGCAAGAGCCCCCACTGTTCCCATTTCACAGATGGGAAAGCTGACGCATGAAGTTAATTGACTGGAGGGAGGCTGAGCTGACATTCAAAGTCCAACAGCCCGAGCCCAGGGCCTTCCATACTCTCTCCTGCTTTAAAAGGGACCCAGATGAGAAAGGCCCAGGGCTCTTAGGGAACTTCCCCGGAGGCGCCCCCTCCCGGCCACTCCAAGGCAGCGTCCTCCAGGCCCCACTGCTCTCCACAGCTGCCCCTTGCTGTGCTGCCCGTCTTGACCTTCACCAGCATGCCAGCGGTCATGCAGGAGTTCGCCAATGGCCTGTGAGTACGCCCCTCCCCAACCAGACCCCAAGCTGCCTGCTGCACTGACTCGCACAGGCAGGAACAATGGTCATCGCCACCATGAAGCCAAGACCCAGTGTGTCACAGCTACTATGGGAACCAGGACTTGGTGGGGGCTCTTTCTAGAACCTGGGTCACACACACCTCTTGTCAAGTTCTGCCAGTGTGGGGTCTGTCTGCTCTGGACCACACAGGCCACACAAGGCGGGTATCTTGCTTCCCTGTCCCCTGTCCCGGGCTAACTGGAGGTCCTGGGGGCAGGGGTGGGTGGGGAGATGATCCAGGAGGTCCAGCTGCAGCCAGCCAGCCCTGAGGATCCTTTCATGCCGCAGGTTGAGCAAAGTCATCACTTCCTGCATCATGGCGCTCGTCTGTGCCATCAACCTCTACTTTGTGGTCAGCTACCTGCCCAGCCTCCCTCACCCTGCCTACTTTGGCCTGGTAGCCGTGCTGGCTGTGGGCTACTTGGGCCTTACTGCCTATCTGGTACTGGGGGCAGCCGAGGGATACGGGAGGGCAGGACAGGGAGGCAGACGGGGTTCTGCGGAGCGCTGGCCTCTCCCTCATTCACGGTCCTTACCCAGGCCTGGACCTGCTGCATCGCCCACGGGGCCACCTTTCTGACCCACAGCTCCCACCAACACTTCCTGTATGGGCTCGCTGAGGAGGGGCAGGAAGATGGGGAGAGCTCTGGGTGAGAGAAAAGCGCACTGGTCCCCTGGATCCAGCAGCCAAGGCAACGGGATGCAGCAAGGCGATTGGAGGTCAGCCACCGGCTTCCTGGATTGAGGGTTTCCCGTCACCCCGAGTGAGGCGTCCTCTTGTGTGCTAGGGACCACACCCATCCAACCAACAATCTACAGTGCCTGCAGCTAGAGATGGCTCTACTGTTAAGAACACTGGCTGCTCTTCCCAGAACTAACATGGTGGCCCTCAAGTGACTGTAACTCCAGTTCCAGGACATCCAGTGCCCTCTTCTGGCCTCCTAGGCTGGCACTAAATACACAAACAAGCAGACAATACACCCAGATACATAAACACTTAAAAAACCAAAACAGTGGGCTGGAGACATGGTTCAGCGGTTAAGGGTACTGACTACTCTCCCAGAGGACCCGGGTTCAATTCCCAGCATCCACATGGCAGCTCACAACTGTCTCTAACTCCAGGATTCACCACCCTCACGCAGACGTACATGCAGGCAAAACACCAATGCACACAAAATAAAAATAAAGAAATTATTTTAAAACACACAAAATAGTGTCTGGTGCTTGATTCCTAAAAGACATCCAAAAACTTTCCGTGCAATCCTGTCACCCTCCTAGACTTAGGTAGTAGGATTTCGGTACCAGACTAGGCAGACCACCTCAAACAAAACAACTCCACGACTCTATTGTCTGACTTGGAAGGTGGAGGCAGGAGGTTTAAGGAGTCACCTTCTTGTTGTAAAGTCCAAGGTCAACCTGGGCTACACAAGAGCCTGTCTCAAGAACGGAGGAGACGCAGCAGAAGCAGCAGCAACCTAACTAACTTGGAGAACCGGAGCTCCCCTCTGTTCTATAGCCAAATCCCGCACCCCTCAAATGTCTGATATCCTCTACTCTCTGTTGTTCCCGCAACCCATTTCCCAGGCAGTAAAACCTAGAAACGGTCTCTTCTCTTTCAGGAACCAGGCCATTAAGTACCCAAAAGTCTGTGCCTTCAAGGGCCAGTTCATTTGCCATCTCCCCAAGGGACAGGGCTGGCCGGACTCCCACGCTGCGCTATTAGGGTTCCCTGCACTCAGCTTCCCCTACAGGCAGGGACTCTCCCGGGCGCCCACACCTCAGCCTAAGCCCTGTCGACCTTCAGGGGGAAGCGGAACTCAGGTGAGCAAGCGAGCGCTCGCTCTCCGAGGGCTGCGGAAGCCACTTCCGCGCAGAGGTTGGGAGTCCCAGCGTGCGTAGGGAACCCCTCCTCCGCCGCCAGCAGCCCGGCACCCTTCGCCCTGGGCAGAGCTAGCACTTTGCAGACGCTCCCTAGACAGTTTCTAGGCTCCCCTAAGTCCCTCCTCCAGACTCCTCCGGTTCCTCGTACCCTAACCTAGAACAGCCCGGAGCAGCACCGAGGAAGGGGTGTCCTCTGACCCTTTCCCCAGGGTTGAGCCTGTGGGAGGTTCACTGTCGTAAAGTAGCTCCCGTTACCCGGAACCCAGCTAGGTAGGCTACCCACTGGACGCTCAGATTGGGGCACTTGTTTATGAAAAGAATTCCCTCTTAAAAGGGCAACAAGAAGAGTGGGGCCCGGAAGGAGCGGCTAAGGGACAGGTCTGGCGCAGCCCGGACAACTGCCGTGCCTGGGCAAGAGTACCTCCCCGTGCCTTGTGCTTGGCCCTGGAGAAGATGGGACCCGAGACAGCGAAGAGGGGTAGGGGGGCTACTGAAGAACACATCTCCCAGATTCCCCTTCGGTTTCTCCTAAGTGTCCCCCAACTTGCGGCACATTCTGGTAATTCACTTGGCATTAACTGGGTGCCTTTTTTTTTTTTAAAGGAGGCCCTGTGCTAGAAGTGGAAAAGAGGTAAAAGTCCCAAACCAAAAGGATGTCAAGGAGCTCTCACGGGAAGGGATGGGGGCGGGGCTAAATAAACAAGAACAGTGACTGGATGAGGCCGGACGCCTGACCCCGTGAGTTCAGGGAGAGGGCCGCTGAGCTCAGGACTCGGGGGTCAGTGAGTGTGCCCAGAGTGCATGGTTCTCAGAAGCTGTGGAATGAGCTGGGGACCCAGAAGGATGGGAAGGCAGAGCGTCTGAAGACTTAAGTGTAGGATTTGGAATGGGCGCTGAGAAGGTAAACTTGGCTTAGGTGCACCCTGGCGGGGAATGGCGTACGGCAGCTCACAACAGCCCGGGACTCCAGCTCCAGGGGACTCGGCACTCGTCTAACCTCCAGAAGCATCCTGACGCTCGCGGCATACACTAACACCCATATGTATGCATTGTGGCACACACCTTACCATGTCAACTCTGGAAGCAGAAGCAGGCGGATGCTACACATTCGAGGCAAGCGAGCTTGGTCCTAGTAGCAAGTTCCAGGCCAGCAAAATCCACACAGTGAGACTCTACCTCAAAATAATAATCATAATAGTGAAAATAAATCTTGGGGCCAGTGAGATGGCTCAGTCGGTAAAGGTACCAGCCACCACTCCAGAGGACAGAACCAAGTCCTTGGGCCCCACCCATTTGGACTCCCTGACTCCACACATGTATTGTGGCACATTGGTGCTCACACAAAGAAATATAGTGATATTTAAAACACTTTTCCTTCCCTTTTATTTTTATTCATTTGTTTTTCGAGACAGAGTTTCTGTTTGTAGCTTTGGCTGTTCTGGAACTCCCTATGTAGACCAGGCTGACCTCAGACTAACAGAGATACACCTGCCTCTGCCTCCCGAGTGCTGGAATTAAAGGCATGCACCACCAACCGGCTGATTTTTTTTATCTTTTTAAAAAGACAAAGACGGTCAGTTTAGGCGCTGCTGAGGCCCACGGTCAGAGATGAGGTCAGATCAAAGTCAGCTGTTTCCAGCCGGAGGCCACTAGTTAGTGTAACACCATCTTCTGTCCCCAAACTGACTGAATTGAAGGAAGGAGGCCTACCTCCAGTTTCTCTAGATGCTCAGTAGGCCCTGGGTGAGGCTGCAGGTGGGAACAAATGGAAACCCGAGGTGCTGGATGGAGGGACCCTTGAATCAGTTGTCCTACAGGATCCTGTTGAGTCCTCTTTGCCCCCCCACCCCCACTAGCGGTCCACACTACTGTTTTTCCTGGGGATGCAACCACTAAATTAACAATCCTAATAGACTGTGTGGGTAAAGCCCCCTCCCCAACTGCTGGGGGGGGGAGTAAACAGCAGAGATGGAACTGTGCTCCCCTCGAAGAAACAAAAAACTGCCTCCGGACTGGCGGAGCGGTTCTCACAGTATGGCTCCAGAACCGGGAGAAAGCTACAGAGCCTCCTGCAGAACGTGAACCCTTCTGGACTGTCTCGCCTTTGTTTGGGGGTAGCTCCTGAGAACTGATGTGAGCTTAGATGGTGGGCGAGTGCTCAGGGTTAGGGTTAGGGAACCACAGGGATGGAAGGCAGCCACCTGCCCGCTTCAATCGCCGGACAAGGGTTCATTCAACCTCGGGTCACACATTTCATTTTGGGGACAGTGTGGGCCTGGCTGAGAGCTGAGGCACCCCCGGCGGGCCTGGCCGAGAAGAGGGGCTCCGAGGGGAGACCGGAGAGCCTGGGTTTGTGCCTTCAGTTTTCCAAGCTGTTTTAAGAAAGGTGTTGGAGGAGTTCGTGAGACCTGGAGTGCAATTTAGGGTGCACGACCCAGGGCGTCAACACACGGGAGGTGAAGACCTTGTGGGTGTAAGGATGGCGGCCATAGGGATCCCCAAGAGCAGAAGAAGGGGTCAGGGATCAGCACCCCACGTTTTCTGCTGGTCCGGCTCGTCTGCAGAGCGGCGAGCGCATTGCGAGCCAGGCCCCCAGCCTGGCTTTCGGGTGGGATGCGACGGGACGCGCCCGCCCCGCCCCAGTGCCTGGGGAGGAAGTGGCCAGGCGTGCGTGTCAAGACTTGGCGTTCGTATTTTTTTTTCTAAATTACGACGAATGAAAGGAACTTTGTAAAACAGGGAGAATAAATAAATACGTGAACCGCAGCCCTAGAGGCGTGCAACTGGGGGCTCCCTGCGAGAAGACCCCGTATGTAAACGCAGTGCTAGGCAATGGCTGGGGTGTGTCACCACAGATCCGGTGACACGTGTGTTTAAAATCTGAATAGTTGCAGTCTCAGGCGCCCAGGGGCGGGCGCTGGGCCCTCCCTCCGCGGGCGTCCCCTAGGCACTTGGGAACACAGCCAGCCCTGGAACTGGCCCCTCTAATAACCACAGATAGGGGCGGCAGGGTGGGGGTGGAAGCCTCTAAACAAGGTGGTATTTCTTCTAGTTCGATGGGATTTGGCTCTGCCAAGGACAAGGAGGCACGTTCCAAACCGAGGGGATAGCACGTACAAGAAACAAGGCCCGAGTGGCGGAGGCTCGGCTTCTACCGGGAGAAACGCTAAATGACTTGGCAGGGGAAGAGGGCTAGATTTGCTGCAGGACAGTCGGTAAAGGTAGACGCAGAAGTAGAATTTTTGACATCCTGTGGTGCCCTAGTGACTGTTGTGGGTGCTGAGGTATAGTTGGATCAAAAACATAATTTGGGACTGCAGAGAATGTACTGCTCTGGTATAGACTACCCGAGTGAGTTGGGTTGCCAGCACACAAACGTAGGGCGGCTAACAACCGCTTCTAACTTCAGTTCCAGGGTTCTGACGCCCCCTTCTGGCCTCTGTAGGCTCTGGCATACATACACATACACAGGGAAAAAAAACTTTCTAAAATTCTATAATTTGATGAGTTTGCATAACCTGAACTAGCAAAGAGTGCCTTTTTTTCTCAATCACGATATCAGCATTAGACAAAAGACCCATTGTAGAGGCAGGTTTGGCTCTGCCATCACCTGGTGGAAGAGAACCTCTGATCTCCACTCGTGGCACGCGCATCCCTCCCATACACAAACAAGTGTAATTTAATTTTTTTTTAAGGAACCAGAAAGATGAAAGATGGCTCTTGCTACTCTTGAAAGAATCCGGTTTCCGTTTCTAGGACCCACATAGTGGCTCACTACCATCTGATAACCCCAGCTCTGGGCAAAGTTGACACCCCCTTCTGGCGACTGATCTGCACTGCACATACGTGGTACGCATACATATTTGTAGGCCATACACATAAAACAATATTTTAAAAATTAACAAATACCCGTTTTACAAAAGAGTTAGCATTGCCCCATTTTCCAGAGGTGCAAACGGAGGCAGCTGGTGTCAGCCCCTTGGAATGCGCGGAGGTGGGGCTGCGTCGCCTTTGGGCACTCCCGGGCCGGGCGCTTAGGGCGGGCCTCAGGCCCGGGGCTCCCTGGCTTGCAGAGGCCGGTTCCCGCTGAGCGCCCTGCCACGCAGCCGCAGAGGCTTGGTCCCTCCGGAACGCCGCAGGAAGAGAGGCGACGCCCCCTGGATCTCCGCAGGAACCCGGCCCGCCTTCCAGTCCGCCGGGCCCCAGAAGTGATGAAAGCCGCGGCCGAGCCCTGGTCGCGCCGAAGCCGTTGCCCTTTTAAGGGGGAGCCTTGAAACGGCGCCCGGGTTCCATGTTTGCATCCGCCTCGCGGGGAGGAAACTCCATGTTGTAACAAAGTTTCCTCCGCACCCCCTCCCTCCCCTTCCCCCCGAGAACCTGGCTCCCCTCCCCTCCGAAGCTCGCGGGGATCCCTCCCTCCCACCCTCCCCTCCCCCCCGCGCCCCGATTCCGGCCCGAGCCGGGGGGGAGGCCGGGCGCCGGGGCCAGAGTCCGGCCGGAGTGGAGCGCGCCGGGCCCCATGGACAGCTCGGCCGTCATTACTCAGATCAGCAAGGAGGAGGCGCGGGGCCCGCTGCGGGGCAAAGGTACGCAGGCGGCGGGAGGGGAGGTCGGGGCCAAGGGCTGTCCGCGCGCCGCAGCCGCTGCCACCGCCCCGGGCGCGAGCCTCGGCCCAGCCCGAGCCCCCGCCAGCGGGGCCAGGGAGAGTTTGAACTCTGCGAGAGCGCGAGGCTCTGGGCGGGGCCTGGCGCCACGAGAGCGCTCGATGTGTAACTAGTGGGAAACTGAGGCAGGGAGCAAGCGAGGGGTTAGTGTAACGGCTGGCGATTCCCGGGCGTCGCCCCCTCCCCCAGTTTGGCGCCAATGGGACTGGAAGGTGGGGGTGAGGCGGCCGCCCGGCCACCCGTTGAGGCTCCGCCCCCTCCAGGCTGAGGTCTGGTTGGGGTGCAGAGGTGACAGTGGGCTGGGTAGTTCTGCAGGGATCTCCCGCCAACACAGAACCGCGTTCCCACAAACTGGGGAGTCGCGCGTGGAGGTGCGGACGACACCCTTGGGGGCAGAGAGCCCGACTCGCGAGCCCCGTGTCCAGTCTGGCACGGGGCACCCCGGCTGCAGCAGGCCAGGCCAGTTGGCGTGGGGCCTGTGCACACACTCGCTTCGACCCTGCAAGGGGCGCCGCCTGCCGAAGCCGAGCCCCTGGGGCTGGCCTGGGTGGGCATCACCCCCTTCCTTCCCGTGCGTGAACTTCACGATCGGGAAGTCACTCGGGGTTTGCCCGCCGCCCAGTCCCGACTTCTTGGGGGCTGGAAGCAGAGTGGCGGGCGCGCGCGGGCGGCAGTGGGGGGGTTGTCTGTCAATTAGAAGGCCGCTGCCTCTGAGTCTGAGGTTGAGACGGGGCGGGGTGGAGGAGGCGGGGCTGACAGTCCCGGGACACTGGCCTCTGGGCACAGGCTCAATGAGGACTTTGGACCCATGGGGTAGACAGAATGGAGGGAGAGTGGGAGTGGACGATGGGGCCCCGAGCCCTGGTGTTCTTTAGCAGGGGCTCCCCAGGTAAGATGTGGGGTCTGGTGGTTGAAAACCAACCCTGGGAAAAAGAGAAAGCACCCGTCTGCCTCCTCCTTCAGGCTTAGGTGGCCGCCTTCTTACAGCCACGGCAGATTTCCTTATGTCGAAGAGTTGCAGAGGCCCCTGGAGGGCCAGAGGCGCTGTGGCGTGGTTCTTCATGGAGAGAGAGCGCCCGTGTTCTCTGTGCTCAGGGATTGAGGCCCGAGTGCACCGGGCCTCCGCAGGCCAGCGTGCCCACATTCGCTCCTTGCTTCAGGTGACCAGAAGTCAGCAGCTTCCCAGAAGCCCCGAAGTCGGGGTATCCTCCACTCGCTCTTCTGCTGTGTCTGCCGAGATGATGGGGAGGCCCGACCTGCCCACAGTGGGGCTCCCCTGCTGGTGGAGGAAAATGGCGCCATCCCAAAGGTGTGTGGTGGTCAGGAGGGAGCTGCAGGTTCACTTGGCCTAGCTGGAAGTGGACTAGGCAGAAGGGGTTCTAGGCTGAACTTTACCAGCACACCTGCGGACCCTAAAACGTTCGGAAAAGGGAGGTGCCTTCCCGTTAGATTCCCAACCCTACCCCCTGTCAGCTTGTCTGAGATCTGAGTATATCCCTTATACACGGGAACGTTCAGGTGAGGAAGAGGGGTCCGTATAACCTACTCCTGGTCCACTGTTGGCAAGGCCAGAGCTAGGAAGGCTGCGGAAGATCTGGTTGGGTCCTCAGATAAGACAGCTGGGGAGGGAAGCCTGTGTGGGAGGTGTCCCACCCAGCCCAGCCCCTCCCCACAGCAGACCCCAGTCCAGTACCTGCTTCCCGA